ATTCCATTTCATCCCTAAAAGATCGGTTTCTATTATTTTCCATGTATTATCATCTCCATCATCAATAAAATCCATTAAAAATATTGGAAATTTAATTGGATCTTTAGGATCTATTAATCTCTCTGCATATGGTTGTGGTAACACATTTCTCATCCATAATTTTGATTGTTTCATTATAGTATTTCTATTAAATAATAAAATTATTAATTTAAAGATTATCAAATATGAAATATATAAAAGTATATCTTACAGATAATCAATATTATCACATCTTTCTTTCATAGGTTTAACTATAACTCGTCCAATATATTGAGCTGATTGACCTTTAATTAATGAACCAGTCCATTGTGTTAATTGTTGATCATCAATTGATTCAGTTTTAAATATTCTTTGAGAATTCATATCATCATTTGAGCACCGATTTGCTGAGCTTGAATTTATAGTTTGAGATGGACCAACAGATTGTGATTGTTGTAAGGATGAATAATCAGATGCTCTAGAACTATACATTCCATGTTGTGAGAGAGAATTATGTGATGAGTGTTGATTATAAGGTGAAGAATATAATGGATATGTGGAATTCGTCATTGCTTCACGTGAAGATCCAATTGAATCTTGTCGCTTTATATTAAATTGTGGAGTAGCAGGAGAAATATCAAAAGATTCACTAGATGAAGATAATGGTACTGAAGCATTTATTACAAGATTTTGTTTTCGATCATCATTTTTTTTATAATCATGAGAATAATCAGGTCTATAATCATATGAAGAATGTGATTCATTAGACTGTGATTGTGGAAATTGCGATTTCCAATAATCATCATCATAATTCTTCATTTCTACTTTCCTAGAATATATTAAGAAATACTCATTATAGACATTATAATAATAATAATAATAATAATAATAATAATAATATACATTAAAATATTTGTTGATCACTTACTGTTTACTTTCATTCGGATAATCAGTATTTGGCTTTGTTGGTGGTAATACAGAATTTTGTGTGTAAGTAGTTTCGGAAGAAACAGACATTCCTGAAAATAATTCAGCTACTGGCTGTAAAGTATTAGCACTTGTAGGCGATTTTTTTGCATTTTTTTTCTCTGAAGATTTTTTTGATTCCGATAAATTTACAATAGAATCTATAGCATCTAGAGTAAATATAAAAAAAAGTATGATTTCATAATTTAAAAGACTTTTTAATCAATATATATATATATGTATGTATGTATGTATGTATGTATGTATATACCAGGCTCATTCCACATAGTCCATGGATCGTGATCATTTTCATGTGCATCATCTGAATATTCTATTTCTTCTAAACATTCAAATTGATAATTATATAAATATGATATATCAAATAATAATTTAAAAGATTCAATATATTAAAAAAAGATTACCATTATATATGTCCTCTGTATTTTTGTTTTTACCAGAAAGAATGTCACGAAGAGGTTCAGGAGTTGCAGGTACGTCCCATAGATCATATCCATCGGAATCTTCATTATGAGTTGCTTTATCTGATAAAATGCGATCAGCTGATGGTATGTAATCAAATTTTGAACTTGAAGATACTAAAAATTATACAAGGTTCGTTAATAAATTTCTATAATAAAATTAATAAAATTAATTTAATATTAATACGTACAAACAGTTTCTTGCACAATATAATCATCATCATCATCATCATCATCATCATCGTCATCATCATCACTATTGGGTTTAGGAGCTTCCCAAGGATCAGATTCAGTATCAGAAGACTTTTTCTTTCTTCTTCCAGCTCGTTCTTTTGGTTTAACTTTCAAAATTTCATGA